GCTGTGGTCTGGGCAGAAGAGGTCATTCCGGGCGGGCAGGCCTCGTCACGCAGATTCCGGCTTCTGGCGAGGGAGAGGCTGCCACCGCCAGCAGGCGGGCCCGCACAATGGTGCAGGGGGCTGTCTCCCCCAGCTGGGGAAGCAGCCCTGAGTGCCGCAGGGTCTGGCGGCCGGAGCGGCAGGCAAGGTCTCAGGCGTCCCCGTGGCTGCTCTGGTCCCAGGTCACCTTGGGCCACAGAGCGGCGCACCTGTCTCCCCAGCAGATGCCAGGGGCTGCTCGCACAGCAGCAGAAGCCCCGAGCCTGAGCTCACCTGCACCCTGAGACCCGCCCTGCCGGGGCTGGGGGTTTCTGTCTCGCCCCTGTGGCCTTGGGGTGTGCCCATGAGCTTGAGTGTCCCGTTTGCCCCCATCCTTCCCCAGGCCCCGGGAGTAGAGGAATTCAGCAGTATGAGAGGGGGTTTAGAGAGCGGGGGGCGCCCCGGTGGGATGGCAGGGAGCTGACGAGCTGCAAGTGAACAGTGTGGGCCCGAATGTGCTCTGTCTGCGGGCGTTCCCTTCCCTCACCTGGGTCTGGCTCCATAAACCCCAATTCCCCCGGCATTTGGAGGGGACACAGCTTTGGCTTCTGCTGTGGTAGGTTGAAAGTAGAGAGACTTTGGGGAGCAAGGTGGAGCTGTCCCTGTACAGCTGGGGAAACTGAGGCTCAGAGAGGCAGGGCCTGTCCCCAGGGTGCACCAGAGACCACCAGGGCTGCCCCAGACATTCGTTTGGGGCCCTGAGGGCCACCACAGAGTTTCTGCTACGAGGGAGAGAGAGGAATGAGCCCTGGGTCCAGGACCCTGTGTCCAAATGACCCCCATTTCTCTGGTTTCATCTGCCAAGCCAGCTGGTGTGCTTCCTGGTCTTCAGGGAAGGCTGGGGTGACTTCCTGCGCCCCCCTCCCACTCTTGCCCCAGCTGAGGATCCATTCAGCGCCAGGGCAGGGACCGGGGCCTGGAGCCGGCTCCTGGTGGGCCCAGTGCTGCCACCTGCCGGCTGCGCGGCCTTCTCCGGGCCCCGCCTGGCGGCCTGTGTCTCGCTGGGCTGACGAGAGCATCTCCCTTGATGATTTGGCCACTGAATCCCAGAACGAGGTCCAGGCTTGTCCATTTTACCTGTGTCCTTGTGTCTTGGGGACAATCTATGGGGGCAGCTCTGCTCCCCCTCCTCTCAACAAGGGGCATGCACCCCAACCCAGAGCCCCTACAGATCCTGGCCCTCGCTGAGCTAAGAGACACTTCTGTTTTCATTGTGTTTATTCCTCTTTTAAGCTACTTTCATGGCGCTTCAATTCACACCCCATGAAGTTCACCCCCTCGCAGTGCACATGGTTCAGTGGGCTGACGCCAGCTGTGCAGCCTTCACCTGGAACTTCAGAACCGTGCACCGCCCAGGAGAAAGCCGGGCCCACGGCCATCCCCACGGCCTGCCCCCCGACCTCCCGCCACCTCTCCGCCCCGCGGGCTCGCCGCCCTGCACACCTTCCCCGAAATCCTCCACGTGCCTCTGGTGGCTGCTTCTTCCACGCGGTTTTGTATCCACGCGCTTGGCATGCTGGCTTTTCATTACTGGTTGGGCTGCAATGTTTTCTTCTCAAGCAAATGTCTTTCAATCGAATCTTCAGTGAGTTGATCATTTGCTCAAGCTACCAGGGAGCTACCCAGGGCAGGGGCCTGTGCATGAGAACATCTGGAAACTATGAAAATCCTGTCTGGGGGCCTGGGGGTCCTTTTGTCCTTGTTTCCACGATTGGGACACTTTCCCTTCCTCTTCTCCCTCCTGCAGCCACCAAGCGCCTCCCCCCACCCTCCCCGACTATTCCGACTATTCCCAAGCCCCCCTGACACCAGAAGAGGGCGGGAGCAAGGGCCCTGCCAGCGAGCAGCGCGTCCCTCTCTGCAGCAAACTTGGAGGGACAGCTGTGGTCTCAACTTCTCCCCAGTCGCTCTGTCCAGAAGCAGCATCTACAACGAGTCTAATTATGCAATTAAAGTCATTTTCCTGGGCTGAGCAAATATTTACAGCACATTTTGCTGCAAATTGCTTCGCCTGGAGGAAGGTTCTGCCATTCGGCTGGCATGCCTGGTGCACATTTACATACCCCATTACCAGGGCCCACGCGCAGAGCAGGTGGCAGACAAGAAGCCCCATGGCAGGTGTCAGCCAGGCAAACGTGTCCCGCCCGCCACCGCGCTGCTGCAGGCAATGACGTCCGCTGGGCCTTTGCGCCGGCCTCTTCTAGGCTCCCACATCAGAGCGAGCGCAGACAGCAGTATCGGAGCCATGTCCACCGGCACCCACGCCGCTCCCCCATCATCTGTCCCTCCCTGGGGCTGTTGCAAAGACATTCTCATCTGTGCTGGGGCGACACCCCCTAGGGGTTCCTGAGGGTGAGATGCAATGGCCCTGCTCAGCCTAGACTTTGGGGCCTGGGGCCCGGGGCCCGGGGTCCACTCCCAGTGGTGGTTGGAGGATCACACGGTATTCCAAGCCTCGGTCTCCTCAAAGTAGCACAGGCGGGGCTGCTGTCCCATGGGGATGCAGAGAAGGGGATGTACAGCGGGCAGTGTACTCTCTGACTTTTATTTCCTCCAGGTCTACAGGGGTGCTATACAGGGGCACCCCACCGCCACCTGTCCAATCCCTTCCCCTGCTGATTTCTGGGGAAGGTGGCGCCCGCTCTGATCGGATGTCGGGGCAATCTCCATGTGGGGTGAGCCTCCTCCCCAGGGACACCTCCCTTCTGTGTCCTCCACATCTTCTCAGGTTCGGGATGGATCTGCATTAGAGGCAGTAAAATCAAACATGTGCTTATTCTCCCTCTGCTTTCCTGAAACTTTGCCCTGGCCCCCGGGAGCAGGTGGTCCTCACTGCCCATGGGTGTCTGTCCCCGCGTCCTGCTACCACACTGTGGACAGACGTGACCACTCAGGGTCTCTGCTCTGGCCGCATGCCCTCTGTCTGGGGAGCAGCCCAAGAGAGCCTCCAGGGCCCAGGACCATGGGCTGAGAGCTCCAGAAGGAAGCTGTGGTGGGCACCCGGGGCAGTAAGCCAACCAGAGGTGGTGGTCTACATAAGAGGGACCCCTGGAGAAGGGCCTTGCAACGCCCAACCCAAGCATGCCCAGCTGCCCTGCTCCCTGGCTCCTCACGGGAGCTCAGGAAAAAAACAGATAATGCCAGCAAAATGGGTCATAGCATCGTGATGACGCCAGAGGCCCCAGCACAGAAACCAGGATGCGGAGGTGGTGGGACGCTTAGTTGGCGCGGTTCAGGGAGAGTGAGTCAGGACCCACAGGCGAGTGCTGAGTCCATGGGTCCCATCAACACCCTTATTCTGCTACGGCACCTCCTCCAGCCTGCCCCCCAGGCTTCCAGGGCCTGGTGGCAACACAGCAGCACACAAGTCTGCTGGGAGAGTGGGTGAGGCATGTAGGAACGTAAGGAATTCCCAGATGGCCAGCTCTGGCCGGGATGATGTAGGTGGACAGACCAGCAAGGACACCGGGCTGGGGGCAGGTGTTCTAAAAACGGTGTCCAAAGCATATCCTGGGCCTACAAATGGCCTCGAGGACCCCCAGCAAGCTAGGAGGTGGCATCAGGGGCTTGGCTGCCCACTGCCTGCCCTGCCATGTTGTAGTGCCTGCTCCTGGCCTCAGCCCTCTGTCTCTAAGTCCTAGAATGGGCCTAGCGAGGCAGCTGCGGCGCAGAGAAGAAACGAGCCTGGAAGCTGCTGAAGTGAGCGCAGAGGGCAGCACTGACCCACTAGGTGCTTTTCCTGCCGGCCACTTTGGAGTTACTAGGGTGCTCTCAGCCTCACCGTCTACACCAGAAGGGCTTAGGCGAAGGAGTGAGTTGGCAAGAACGCTGGGAAGTCAGGTTGACAAGAGCCTGCGGCCCACTGGACAGAGGGCGGGACAAACCTGTTCAGCAGCTGAGTCCGAGAAGGAAACCACCGGGGACGTGTGTTGATCCACAGAAGGGACTGCAGGGTCGAGGAGACAGTTAGTCTGGATTGTCCAGGACAGTAAGACCAAGCTGCACCCCCAATCTTCTCAAGGACCCATGGTGAGCCCCCTGTTGGCACGCGACCCAGTATGCAGAAGGAGCTCAATTAGCCCCTGTGCCTGAGATCCGGTGGGTTGGTCCTTCTAGAGGATACTTGTCTACTCTCCCGTGAATGAGGGTGAGAAGCATGGCTCAAGGAGAACTTAGGCCATGTTCAGGAGAACTCGAACCGTCAACCCCAGCTCCTCCCACTCCATGGGGTGTGCTGGGGCAGCCCTCACCACGGAGGCCACTCGGGTGGGGGTGGGTGGACGGGAGGGTCTGTCCACACCCAGAGCCCTGCTCGGCCCCCAGGCAGAGGCCCCGGGAAGGGCCGGAGGGAGTGAGGCCGTCGAGGCAAGGAGGGCGAACACTGTACGTCCAGAGAGACGACTCGGAGGCAAAATGCTCATCAGAACTAGTGGACGCTGATAAAGCAGGAGGCTTCAGGGGCACCGGGGGTGGGGGTTGGCAGAGAGGGCTAAAGGGGTGTAGGGGGTGAAGGTGGGAAAATGAAAAATGAAGAAGAGTTTATTGACATAAGTCCTGGAAACTGGCCACAATGCACGTCTTGTGGGAGGCCGACTCCCCAGACCCAGGGTTTTGTCAAGAAGCGTATGTAGCTCCCCGGCGCCGCCGACGCGAGACACGTCATTTAAAGGCTGTCACGGGACACGGGCTGGGGGTTCCAGATGCTAATCAGGGGTGAATGAGAAAACCCCAAACCTGGGGCTGTGTCCCCAGGCTTCTTCTCACCTGGCTCCTCTCCCCTCCTCCATCCCTCCAGGGCCACCCTGAACCCCACGAGTGCTTCGGAGGGGATTCCGCTGAGACCCTAGTCTTGTTGGTGGTTCAAGGAAGAAAAACCAAGCAAAAACAAACCCAACTTTTCTATAAAAGTTTATTTTGTGATTTTTCCAAGAGGCGTCAAGGGCAAAGATTGAAATTACGTAAAGATAAAGAACAATGGTATATAAAAATAATTTAAACACACACATCAATAATAAAGCAACATTTCTTTCTAGCAACAACTAGTAGTAATCTTGCCCAAGATTTTTCCAAAGGTATTAAATATATTTTAGATAACAGTACACACACGCGCACACACGCACACACGCACACACACACATATACAGCTCAAGTATTTTTTCTGTGCATTCCAGCTAATTCACACAGCTAAAGTGAAAACACAAAAAAAGACAAAATGCCTGAGTGTCCTTAGAGCTGAACAAATGTGCATTGGATTGTGGATTTTGGAGACGTGCTAAGATTTCCCTTCCCAAAGTTGTTAGTTACTAGCCTGTACTCTGTGGTCTTATCGGAAAAATTAAGAAGTGTCTCTGGGATCTGCTTATCGCTGTGGTCATTGCATGCTGCGGGCGCTGTCAATTCCGGAAAGGCCCTCTCTCTCTCTCTCTCTCTCTTTCTCTCTCTCTCTCTTGTCCTGTTGCGTCTTACGGAAGGGGAAGGGGGTGATTCTGAAGGCGAAGCTCTTGGGCTGGGACTACATCTGGCTGATTCTCTGCTTCAGGGCCAGGAGCTCCCTCTGGATTTCCTTGGGGAGGTCGGTGTTCACCTGCTCCTCCAGGTACTTCTGGACGTCTGCCACCTCCTTCTCCCAGAACTCCTTGGAGATGTGGAAGAGCTCCTTGACGTTGATGCTTCCCAGCCCTTTGAGGTTCAGGGCGCTTTCCTCGGGGACGTAGCCTATGGGCGTGAGCTTGGCACCGCCCGCCCCGTCGATCCGGTTGAACATCCACTCCAGCACCCTGGAGTTCTCCCCGAAGCCCGGCCAGAGGAATCTGCCTTCCTTGTCCTTGCGGAACCAGTTGACATGGAAGATCTTGGGCAGCTTGGCGCCCGGGCGCTGGGCCATGCTGAGCCAGTGGGCCAGGTATTTGCCAAAGTTATAACCGAAGAAGGGCCTCATGGCGAAGGGGTCGTGCATGATGACTTTGCCTGTGGACAGGAAGGGGGCGCTGTCGGCCAACCACGCCCTCCGGGGACAAAACCGCCTCCCCGGACAGTCGACGGCAAGCTCACTCGGTTTCCTCTGTCTCTGCCCACATGTGGAGACACAGAGAAGCAAGAGAGGCCCACAGACAGAGGGACAGAGACCCCTCCATGTGGCGTCAGCTCCTGACTTGGGGTACCTTTGTGCTCTGCTGCGGCTGTGGCCTCGGACCTCATGGCTGCGCCCACAAGCACTCCATGCTGCCAGCTGAGAGCTTCGTAGACCAGAGGGACACCTTTAGGGGGCACAAGCATTCCTTAAGGACGCTGACCGTCAGACCCGACCAGCCGTGGTGTCACCTCACAACATGGGAGGACGCTTGGCAGGAGAGGATCTTCCCGCTGAGCTAACTCTGCACCCCAAAGCTACGTACAGACGGGCACTGAGTCCAGTTACACCACCCAGGCCACCCAGGCCACACCACAAAGGCAAAAGACACATAGATGAGCCACATTCGGTGGCCATTTCTGCGGGTGCTGACCAGAGTCTTGGGCTCTATCGGAGGCTCTATCGGAGCCTTGGAAGGGAAGGCACCCGGCCCTCTGACAAGCCCGTGGATGGGCAGCACAAGCTCCCCGCGGTCTGACAGAAGGGGCGCCTCACCAGCAGGCCGGCGGCCTCCGAAGATGATGCCCTCAATGGGCACGCCCTCCGGAGACTCCCAGGCAGGGTCGATGATGGGGCACTGGCGGGCGGGGGTGCAGAACCTCGAGTTGGGATGGGCACAAGGTTCCCCTACAATGAGAAGAGAGGCCCCTGAGTGTCCAGCCCAAACATGGGGCACCTGCAGGGGAGTGCGGGGGCCCCCGGAGTCCTCACCGTCCTCTGCCCTCCATTCCTTGTTCTTCCACGAGGTGATCTTGACGCCCGAGGCCAGCGGCTGGTCGATTCCTTCCCAGTAAACGCCCCCGTCGCTGGTCTCGGCCACGTTGGTGAAGATGGTGTTCTTCTGGATGGTTCTGATGGCGTTGGGGTTTGTCTTCACAGAGGTTCCGGGAGCAACGCCAAAGAAACCATTTTCTGGGTTGATGGCTCTTAGGTTCCCTGCAAAGATTTAAAGCAGAGGGTGGAGCTGGGGGCGGGCGCGGCGCCGCACGTGCACACCCATCTCGCGAGGCTCGTCCTTATGCCGTCTTCTCATCTCCTTGTTCCCTCCCAGCATGCATGTCCTTCTTCGTCCAAGTGTTACATCCAAGGCTTTTACAACCAGCCCCCATCCGCTGCCCATCAATATTATTTCAACAGATTTATTAGGGAAACAACAGCAACATTTGGCCTCACTGCAATGCAGATTCCATATAAATCAGACTCAGAGAACACATGTTTCTAAGGCTGGGCAAGATCTGAAATAACTGAATTCAAAATCCAAACCCTGGTCCTAGGAGGACTCGGCAAGTCTGCGAAGCCAGAAATTCACTGGGCCCCTGCACTGCTGTCAACAGCGGGCCCCCGAGCCGCACCTTGTTGGTCAAACTTCATCCAGGCGATGTCATCACCCACACACTCCACCTTCCAGCCCGGGAGAGTGGGGTTCATCATGGCCAGGTTGGTCTTCCCGCAGGCGCTCGGGAACGCGGCCGCCAGGTACTTCTTCCGGCCCTGAGGGTTGGTGATGCCCAGGATCTGCGGGAGACAAGATTTCCCTTCAGTTTTTTGTTCCTTTCAGCCCCTGTGCTCAGGACTTCAGTCCAGGGGTGTGCTTAGCAGCCCCCAAAAGGTAGTGACCCAAGCTCCCTTTCTCCAGGTATCCAAAGGACATTTTTGAATAAGGAAGTCCCGGGGCCCCCCGCGGAGGCTGTGTGTTTGAGGCCCTTAAAGGAGGCGTCTACTAACAGATTCCCAGATTGCACCCCGACCCCTGCCTCTCACCAGCATGTGCTCGGCCAGCCACCCCTCCTCCTGGGCCAGCCGGCCTGCCATCCGCAGAGCAAAGCACTTCTTCCCCAGGAGCGAGTTCCCGCCGTAGCCGCTGCCGAAGGAGATGATCTCTCGGCGGTCGGGCAGGTGGGCGATGAGGGTGAGCTCGGGGTTGCAGGCCCAGTTGTTAACCAAAGGCTCTGCATGGGAGGGGACATGTCCGCGTGAGGCCTCGTGCCCCTGGAGGCCCGGCGGGAGGCTGCGCGGGGGCCGCCCGCCCTCAGCTCTGCTTCGGGAAGGTGGTGCTTACTTTTCAAAGGCAGCGGGCAGCCCACGGAATGCAGACACTTGACGAAATCCCCGCTGCCCAGGGCTTCCAGCACGGGCGTGCCCATCCGGGTCATGATGCGCATGCTGGCCACCACGTAGGGCGAGTCGGTCAGCTCGATGCCGATCTTGGACAGCGGGGAGCCCAGCGGCCCCATGCTGAACGGGATGACGTACATGGTGCGGCCTGCGGGCCCAGCAGGGGGAGGTGGTGAGAAAGGCCCCCAAAGCACACACTCTGCCTTTGCTTACACTGGGCCCCGTCCCAGGCCTCTCCCCCATCACGCCCTGCTGGCCATGGCCCCCTGCTTTAGACGAGTTTTCGGAAAGGTGTCCGCTGGCCATTGTCAACCCACATGCTGAGAAATGGTTGTCACATTGTCTAAGACTGTTTGTAAAAGCAGAACCGAAATACCCGTTTTTCCTACATCGCCAGTGTCCCCCCGGCATGGGAGGACCCTGAGCCAGGGTGTTTCCGGGGCTGCGACAGCGACATCACTGTCTGCAGACATCACAATCAAGGTCCGCTGGTGTCCCCGCACCAGAGAAGGGTCCTCACCTTTCATGCACCCTGGAAACCGGGCTTCGAAGGCTTTGTCGAAGTCGGCCTCGGACATCCAGCAGCCCAGCAGGCTGGGGCCGGCTCTGGGGATGGGCACTGTGTCTCTCTGCTCTCTGGTGACAATGACTGTCTTGCTTTCAACTCTGGCCACGTCCCTGGGGTCAGTGAGCGCCAACCAGCTGCCAAAAAATGCACAGATTGGGAGTGGAGCGGGACCTTCCCTGCTGGGGCGCCGGGCGCAGGCGGCCTGCAGCCAAGCCCCTTTCGGCCGGGTCTGGGTGCCGCATGCTCGTCCCGGCCCCCGAGCACCCGCCAACCTGAGCTGTGAAGGGCCCCCGTGCCCGCCGGGACGAGGTGGGGCCTGAGCTTCGCCGACCTCGGGGTCCAACCTTCCCACTCTTGGGCTGTTCTACCAGTGTGACCCAGTGAAAGTCTCTGTGGACCCGGCGGCTTTGTTAGGTTGCCCCATGGGCCTCTGCGAGCCCCGAGTTGGCGGGGAGGCGCTTACCAATTGTCGTACTTGCTCAGCCTCCTGACGGCGCCCTGCTCCTCCATCTGCTCCAGCAGCTGCCGGTTCTCCCGCTCCGAGCCGTCGCAGATGTGGATGTGGTCAGGCTGGCAGATCTTGACATAGTTCTCGATAAACTCCCTCACGGCCTGCGGCAGGCTGTCGAGCTTGCCTTGCACGACCTTGGCAGAGACGTCGGTTCTGTTTGGGACCTGAGGAGGCATGTCGGCGGGATCGTGCGAAGGGGCACAGGCGCCAAGCTTCCCTGAAACACAAAGCGCAGCCCCCCTGAGCGGCCCTGGCACAGATGCCCTCAGCCCCCCACCCCCACCCCTTCGGGGGCGGTCTCCCCAACACAGGCTGACCCGGAGGAGAGGACAGCCATCGTCTCTGCGAGGTTTGGAAATGGAAGTCACACAGCTCTGCTTACCTCTCCTTGGCTGGTCTCTACTGGACACCCAAGGCTTGGGGTCTTCCCGCTGGGCGGTCCCGGTGGGAAAGCTGGTGCCGGGCCTCGGAACCTCCCGGCTTTAAACCCGTGGAGGAGAAAGGCCCTGCCCCTCGGCTGCCGGGAGGCTCGCCTCTGACGTCAGGGCAGGCCTTTGGATCACGGCCACGGTCAGTTATGCTTTGGACCGACTCACCACAATAAACCACAGAGAGATAATCATTGAACAGATAGTTGTTAATGAGTGCCGGGCCCGGCCTCACCAGCCAGCGTGAGTCCTTGCACAACTTCTGATTGACTAAACTTTGACCCAGCTCGCTGCTGATGCAAACGTGCGGGCCGGCCGCTCACAGCCAGGTGGGAGCAAGGCTGTGGGGGCACCGGATGTCCAGGCCGCTGGCAGCACATCGTGTGTGCCGAGGGCTGGGGCTGGCCAGGCCACAGTGGCCAGGAGCCACCTCACAAAGGCCCACGGGAAGAAACACCTGGGCGCAGCAAGTATGTGGCCTGGCAGGGTCCGAGCCGAGTGGGGCTGATAGTCTCTGCCCCCACCCCAAGTATATGCCCCATGAGGGCAGAGATTTCTGCCTGTTTTGTTCATTTCTGCACCACGGAGCAGGCGCCCAACAGTAGCCAAGCACTGCTCAGCTCTCATGTTTCTCCTCTCCAAGGGGGAGTCCAGACAAGGTCACTGAGGCCCAGGGGGGCCAGGCAGCCCCTCCAGCTCCCTGGCTGGTGGGTGACGGGAGAATTGGGCCAGGAGCCCCAGCGACCGCACCAGACCACCCCCAGGGGTGCCGCTGCTGCTTCTTGAACCTTCCACGTATTCTCCAAGTACTTCCGGGCTGTGCGGTCACCCCTGGAGTCCACCGGCCTCTCTCAATGTCCTTGCAAGTCTGGGGTTCTGGGGAGCGGAGGGGGCTTTGCAGTTTTGTTAGATTACATTTGAGTCATGAGCCTCTTAACAGCTGTAAGGAAATCGCCCAAGAGTGAGACTTTCCCTCTGAGCGGCTCGCTGGCGTCCAGAGAGCACTGGGTGAGAAGTCAGGGTGCGGGCCAGGCTGGCCGCCCACAGCCAGCCCCCTCCCTCCCGTGAGGTCGGGTGGGGACTGCCCGCCTGCCGTGGGGTGTGGACTGAGACAGTCCCGTGACTGTGGAGGGGGCTGTGCAAAGACCAGACATCTCCTGTAGCGACGAGGACTTGGGGCCCACCCCGCCGGCCCCGTCCCTCGGGAACACGTCTGTCCACGCTCCCCAACCCCACCACAACCCCCACCCTCCCCTGTCTCAGGTTTGTCCCTGTTTTTATCCAGTCGGTTGGATCTCTCCATGTAAACACCATATGCGGTGTTTTGTTTAGTTTTAAATATTTACCATTTAAGTCATTCAAATGTGCCACACGTCACCACCAGGGCCCGTCTGACCTAAACAGCCCCGACGTGATGCTCTGTGTGGAGAGATACTTTCTTAGCATCTGGCATCCATGAAATTAGCCCCTCAGATGTGCCATAGACACGCAGCACACGTTCACACCAGGCGTTCCGCCCACCACCCGGGCACCGACTCCCGTTTTGCTGATAAAAACGGTGAGAGGTTTGATTCCCGGGAAGAGCACGTCGATGGAAAACAGAAATGAGAACCCGCAGCGTCTTCGCAGTTCTAAATGCTCCCCATAGATTCGCTGTCTGCATTCTGAGCGCTCCCGCAGGGAAACCACTAGTTCAATTAAAACCGAAGGGCGGTGAGTGGACCCCGTCCCCGCCGCCCTGTCAACCAGAGCTACGTGGGGGAGGGCGGCCCGGCTCCTTCACAGCCCCCCATCAGCATGTTAAAAGCAAGAGTTGGGCTGCAGATTTGCTAAAAATGCTGAGTTTTTTGGAAGAAAGAAGTTGCTGGCACCCTAGAGCCCGTCAGCCCCCGCCCAGAGACCCCTGCCCTCAGGAACACCGTCAAGGGCCTGGCTGGAGGCGCACCTCTTCCCCACTGGCCCCTGAGCTTCTTTCTAAGCCAGTCTTGAAACTGGGGAGGGTTCCAGGCAGGACCTAGGGGTGGATGAGCTGCTGCTCTGCTGGCAAACCCCCCCAAAGGATTTACCAACATATTTGAAGGGTGGCTGGTGTGGGTAAGTGGTTCACATGGGGAGATGGATTTGTCATTTCTGGGGTAATTGCCAGAGGGACCCCCAGATACTTGAGGTCTCCTTAAGCATCTGCTTCCTAAGGCCTAAGGTGACACCCTTTTAAACCTTTAAAAAACTTCTAAAAATTTGAGCCCAAATAATTTGTTGAAAGGAAAAGAAAGAAAGACCAGGCCCTGAAAAACGTTTCCAGACCCAGGGGTCCCTTGGTCTCCGAAGGTGACACACGTATTTTGTGGGTGACACGTGCAGAGCGGCTGAGCTGAAAACCCTGCGGCCAAACAAGCTTTGTAAAGCCTCCCACCCGTGCAGGATTGGGGAGCGGCGTGGGCCTCGCAGGCCTGCCAAGGCCCCAGAGGTGTGTGCAGGTGAGGCATGCAGGGGGGCCGTGGAGCACACGCCGCAGACTCCGATCAGGCCGCGCCCCGGAGTCCCCGCACAGAGCGGCTGTGGCACACTGGTGTTTATAGGTCACCTGGAGGCCAATCCAAAACCAGAAATTCCAAAGGCCATTGGCAGCCATGTCCCTGAAAGCCACACTGGCGGTTTCTTCCCCTGTGCTCCCAGGGATGTGGGGTCGCACCGCGGCCTCTCAGACTCCACCAGCAGTGCTTGCTCAGCTCCTGCTTGTATCTTTGAACAAGGAATCGCACAGGCAGACGACCTGAGAGCTGCCATCACAGCCAGGCCCTGCACCGGAGATGCCGCAGCTGAGTCCAGCGCGGCCAGTTCCCCACAGAGGCCCCCCCTCCACCCCAGCAATGATGGGTGGCCCCTTAGTGTGGGAATCTGAATTCATAGGGAAGCATGCAGGAAGCACGCATACACACAGCAGTTCCCCAGGTGACAGCATGTCTCGCCCGGGCGCCCAGGTCTGCAAGAGTCCACGCCGGGTCTCCATCGCCAGAGTCACGCTCCAGGGTCACCGAGCAGCCCACCCTGGAAGTTTCCAACCGGGAAATGCAGTACGGCTGAGAACGGATCGGCCGGGGAATCATTTGCCCACAATCCTGGTCATCCACCCCAGGTGTTTGTCGAGGACAAATATTTAGTCGTCCTGCACCTATGGTGTAACCTGACATCTTTGCAGTCAGGAGGGCCTCTCCGCAGCAGAATGTGTCCAGTTCCTACCGGAGCCGCAGGGGCCAGTCTCCGAAAGCGTCCTTCAGGGGTGGTTAATCCAGCTGAGTGGGCAGGGGCTCCTCCTCCACTGGGGGCATGAAAATGTTTTGGAACTAGACAGAAGTGGCCACTGCACACCACTGCATACCACGGCACGCCACTTTATACCACGGCACGCCACTGCATACCACGGCACGCCACTGCATACCACGGCACGCCGCTGCATACCACGGCACGCCGCTGCATACCACGGCACGCCGCTGCATACCACGCATGCCACTGCACACCACTGCATGCCACTGCACACCACTGTATACCACTGCACACCACTGCACACCACTGCATAGCTGCTTATCACTGCACACCACTGCACCTTGTATGCCTTGGAATGGTTAATGTTAGGCAAGTTTTACCTCAATTAAAAAGGAAAACAGGATGCCATCCAGCCTTTCATTTTAAAGATGAGGGAAAGACCCAGGGTGGGTGGAAAGGACCCCCGGGGATGCAGGCTAGTGTCCAGCGCCCTCCACCCACTTCCTGCTCCTGGTCCTAGCCCTCCCCGCTGTCCACATCCCACCTCGTGATGCCCCAACATGGGACCGAACAGCCACATGCTCTGCGCAGACGGCAACTGATTTCAACAGAGAAAAGGCGCTAAGCTTTGTTGCCTTTTCTTTCCACAATGAAGAAATAGAAACGAACTTAGAGGTTAACCCTTTGCTGGTGCATGTTAGCAAGGCACGACCTTTGCCTCCAGCTCCTATGCACAGAAGACGTGTTCAATGAGCGCTAACGGCAGGTGTCCGGAGGATTGACTGTCGCTGACCTGCTCACTGGTGACCCGTGGAAGTGGCGTATCCACAAAATCTTGTTTATTTTCTTTGGAGATTCCCCGTCGGGTTTAAGGAGGGCATGAGGGTCTGCAGAGACAGCAGGCGTCGGGTTCAGCAGCTCATGCTCGCCCATCCCGGGAGGACTGTCCTGCAGAGGGCCCTTCCCACGCCTTGTCCTCAGGGGACACTGACACCAGGCACTTGCAGCAGCTGCAGTGAAGGGACATGCGCCCTCAGGCAGGCCGGGCAGGCCCTGCAGGGGTCATTCTCCGGGCTCTTCATCGACACCCCTGTTGTCCACACCCTTGGACTTGAGTGGCCTGTGGATTACAGCCCACACATCCTGAGCCAAGACCCCATTCCTGGTCTACACAGAACCTGGACTTGGGACACCTGGGTTGACTCTGGTGCCAGCGCCCCCAGAGAGCTGCCTGCACAGGGTGGGGTGAGGAGGACACACTCCAGGCCGCTCTGCCCAGCCCTACCGAAGAAGCAGGGATCCTGTCCTGGCCCCCATGTCCATTGTGGGTTTGCTTTTTGCCTAGTCCCTCTGCTTTGGAAGACTGGCCATGCCGTTTGTTGGGCCTGTCTTCTGGCTAGAGGTTTGGGAGGTCTAGGTGTCCTTGCTGCTCGTACCGATTAAAATGGGTTCTCAAAGGAGCATGCCGGGGAATTCAGGAGCCACAATATCAGGTGAAAACAGACAGCTGATCCAGGCAACACAAATCATGCCTGCAGCCCTGCCTTCGTCCGCAGCTGTAGGCAGAGCGGGCTGGATTTCACCCGATCACAAGGCCCCACCACCGTCAGCTGTCCCTGGGGCACAAGACCTCCAGTGTCGGGGCTCTAGAGGAGGGGGCAGCTCCAGTGGGCTTTGGAAATGTTTGTGCCAGCTGCATTCTCGAGCATTCTGGAACCACCAAAGTCAGAGGGCGCAGAGGGAAAGATGGTCCCGTCCCCACCCCTGGGTGGCCCTTCTCCATGGTCTACGCTCCCTCGTCTCTGAACAGAGACGGCCCTTCCCACCCCAAGGCCCTTGATT